TTTAATTTTCTTTCGTTTCCCATTTTTATCTTCGCGTCTTTCTTCTTCAGCTTCTTATCAATGTTGGTTTTATTTTCCCCCTAAAAAAATAACATATGAGGTATATTATCCTTATAAGGATGAAACGATTTTTTTTTTGATAAAAAAGAAGAAAAAATTTGAAGTCAACAGGATGCGTGCGTTTCGCAATGATTGATTAATGAATCATTGCAGTAAAACAAAGTAAGATGATTTACAGGTTGTAATAAGAAATGCTCAAGTCGGAACTCGAACCTCACGGATCGGCACAGGCGTGCACATGACGCCTTGGACGACTCGGCCACCAACCTGTTTGAACTGCATTGGGTGAATCTTGTGATCATACAGTAGAGGGAATGGGCAGGCTACGTAGCCACTGTGCAATCTCCTCGGCCACTGCGCAACCGTCTGCGCATAGCAGCAGCAGTTGCGGAGCATTCTGTAAATTCGCTCACTTTTATAACATGATTGTAAAAAAACCTGAGTCCTTTTTCCTAAATCTGATTAGAGCGGGCTCATCTAGGGTCTATCACCTGTCGATACCCGCAAAAACCATGGAAACCCCAGTAGAACGCTCAAACGCCTATGACAAAAAATGTAAATTTTCATTGTTTAAATGGGAGACTTCGCAACTTAACCACGTAATGTAAAAAAAAAAAACTGGGTCATATTTTGAAAATCTGAATAAAGCGGACTCATCTAAAGACAATTGCCCGTCGATCACCGCAAAAATCATGAAAATCGGCCAGGTAAAACGCTGGAACTGAGCGTCACCAGTTATGCAAAATTAGGAGGTCTCAGAGCTTATAGTATAGAAGATGTTTGTCCTATATTCCCTTACATTCCCCCCCCTTGATACTTTGTTCTAGTAGCACTCATTCGGGTGGTAAGTCAAGTGAGATGTCAGTTCATATTAGAATATCGACGGCGTAGTTACCAAACATAGCATATCGTTTGCCATTTTTGAAAATTCCAGAAAGTCTGCAACGTCACACCGAGATACATACTTTAGTACCTTCATCATAATTTTGGTCGTAGATTTCAAGTATGATGTGATGAATACCGCCTGGTTAATCGGGCTGCCCAAAACTCAAAAAGACTGTTAAGTGTGAAGGGTAGGAGGACGTAAATTAGTTCAATAATGACGCAATGAGTGAAGTGAAGTATTATCCTCTGTGTAATTTGGGTGAAATAAGAAGTAAAAAATTAAGTTGAAAATGAATGGTCAAACAGGGCATCCCAAATTCACAATGACTGCCTGTAAAAGGCAATGGTGTTAACTGGAGGTATACGAGGTCTGTTAGATTAGAAACCGGATTTTGGTCATAACTAGCCCACAATGCGTCCAAATTAGGTTTTCTTGAGCTTTTTTGATAGCTGGAAATATACTTAAAAACGCTACGTTCACAAGTTTGAAAAATCCTAATGAGCTTCGTTGGTATGTGGCTTGAAGTAAGGCAACCTCAAGGGTGTTTTGCGATTTTTATGTTTCACCGAACTTGTCTCTCTTTTTTCGATCTTGCACCACATTTTTCAACCCACAACGACGATTGGAGTTTTGTCTCCATATCGTAGCCGTACACTAAAATATTGTCACCGAAAATTATCCTATCCAAAAATGTAGGATCACTGTTAGAACGTTCAAGCAGCTAAAGGGAAATTGACATTTGGTTGGATTTTCGTTCAACGGACGACAATCAAGGGGCAAGTGTACCTGAAACTCGATGCGCGTGTCTACATATTCTATCAAAATTGTATGTACAGAGCCTTCAGAAATATTACTCTATTCAACAAGCTCGAAACGACCGTTTTCGAGCACTTTTGCCCGCATTTCTTCCACGTGACAAATGTCAGTTGCCGTTGAGGGTTGATTCCCATGCTCCTCCTCTTTGATGAACTCCTGACCAGTTTTGAATTATTTAACTCATTCAAAACAGTGGGAACATCTCATACAATGATCATGGTAAACTTTACTTAGCGTATATCAAAAGTTTTGGTACAAGGTATACCGAGTTTAAACAAAATTTAATGTTGAATCTTTGTTCTATCAGTGATCGCATGATGAAAATCGCAAAACGCACCTGACTTACTCGTAATCAAGATGACACAGAATAAACACTGATCAAAATAAACAAAATCTGTAAACGTAGCATTCTTCAGTATATTTCCAGCTATCAGAAGAGCTCAAGAAAACGTAATTTGGACGCATTGTGGGGTAATTATGACCAAAATCCGGTTTCTAATCTAACAGACCTCGTATATGCTAGGAGGAACTATTAACCAGTGATATATATGCTAAAAGGAACTAGTAACCGGAGGTATACATGCTAAAAGGAACTATCTGAATGGTGTTGGCGTGCATCATAGTTCCATTTAGCATTAAAACGTCTTATTTTAAAATATGCTTTTATTACATCTTTGCAAATAAGGTACAGATTTCTGCATAATATCCGCACTTAAAATCTTTTTATTCCCCTCAAGAACCAAGATTTCTTTTTATTCGAAATGTGAATAAAGCATATCAGGTCAAATGAGAATTATTTATTTTTTATTTTTATTTTAAAAATTCTCGTACATAGAAGCTGGAATTACAGCCGTTATACAGGTCAATAACAAATGAAAATATTACAATAACAACAAAACAACAAATTAGCATGAGGTATATTCTTTCAGCAGTAGCTCATCAATACTATAAAAAGCTACTCGAAGTAGGGGCTGTTTGAGCTCAAACATGAATGATACGGAACCTGCATCTCTGAACAGGAGTTTTAGTCTTAATGGCAGCGAAATGAGAAATTGAATTGATGCAAATTTGATGTTGCTTTCGGACACCTTTAATGAGATTTTGATGTTTTTAATATTATGATGCCTAAAATTATAATTGTGGCTGGGAAGCAAATCAGATGGAGAGATTGAATCATTAATTATGGCATTACAATTCTGGCAAAATGAAATTAAAAATATCAATCTCTTAAATCATAAGTTGACGGCTTCTTTCTTCAAGAAAAAATAAAAAAAAAAAATATACTAAGGAACATCCAGTGGTATGAATTATTGTTTACATTTTCGCATTCTTTTCTTTTAGCAATAACTCCATAGTAAAGATCACTCATACAGCAGTTTCTCTTGGAATTGTACGATTATTTATAATGTCCTTTTATTAGCAGCTCCTTGAAAGATAGTCACCATCCTCAATTTCGGGTTTTAATGAGGAGTATAATTAATTGCGAACACCTAATAAAACTGCTAGACCCCTTACAAAGATTTTTTACAATCACACTTAAAAATTTTCTATTCTGTCTTTCAAATTTTGAACTCAAAAACTTATCTTGTACTCAAGAACCAATATACGATTATAGAGCATTTTCTACTTTAAATTTAAAATTTACGACCAAAATTATCTTAATCCACTAAAATCATTGAACCATCTTAAACCCTTGTAACATTCAGATTCCGCCTGAATTATCAGTTTTGCGCGACCCTCCTGACTAGGCATCATTCATTGGGTCGTATATAAGGTCTTACAGAAGAAAAATAAATCTTGAACATCTCGTCAAACTGCTTGACCAATATTACACAGAAATCGTTACCTTACTTTCATTTTAAAATGTATTACATTAATCAAACTTTAAAAGTTTCCATCCTGTCGTTCAAAGTTGGCTACCATCCTGGATTCGGTGCATCCCTTTTGACCAAGGGCTTTTTTTACACTATATTTGAAATTTGCGACCCAAACTACACAGGAAATGACACCTCACACAACACGAAATGCACATTTTAAATTATCTTGATGCTTGATAATCAATACACGTCAGCCTTTTTGAGTTTCAGGGATTTAAGTAAAGGGGTATTCTGAGATGGAGCAGAGAAAAACAATTTGTATGTTATGTGTTATTCAGGCCAATCTGATGATGATATTCTTGTAGGAAAAGTCTGTCATGCAATTCGTTCCGAGTTGTTCCTTTTTCTCCCGTATTTTTCCTGGACTGAACGAGAATTGGTACCGAATTTCCGGAAAATAAGGGTTTACGAATCTTACCGTAAAACGGCTGCGCTGAGAGAAAGTACATCGAGAAACTTCGATGTTGGAAATAATTTTTGACACCTTTGATCGCATGCTCTTTTGTCGTATTTGCCATTGTTGCCATGTTATTGTCAGAAACCTAAATTTTCCGCTAATTTTGACTTAAATGTCAAACTGGAGGGTCCAAACGTTGACAAAAAATTTCAGGAAAATTCAGGCTTTGTTTTTAAACCATTTTGCCGCTTTTGTGCTAAGTCCATTTTCAAAAGGATAAAAAGTTAAAAAGTAACAGCCCCATCTTGGTGAGCGTGTTGACCCCTGTCTGCCTTCAGGCACCCTTGAGCTTTAGTTTCTTAATTTGTTGACTAAGGAACTCGACTTCATGGTCTGACACTGGGGGTCAGTCAACACGGGGTATCTGGCTAGAGGTTCGAGACTGCCAAAAATTAGAGTGGCAGACCAGCACCTCGAGTTAGAGCTTGCCTGTGGCCTGACTGCTGATTTTGCTCTCTGGGTCTGAGTTTCTAGAGACTCAACTGGTCAGATCGTTAAAATCCCTCGATTCAGCAACTAGCTACAGAACGGCAGCATGCACACTCAGTAGGTTGCATCACCCTGTAAAAATCCTGGGAGTTGACTTGGAACAACAAGGTTCGCGTATCTGCGCATGCTTTGACAAAATGATGACATTCACTATGACGATTTTAGCTAGTTTGCTGACAAGCGTTAGATCGAGCCTTTACTGCATATTAACGAGACCTAGATGCATTGCATTGAATGTGAGCATCCATTTCAATACAATTTAAAGAAAAGTTTGACACAGTCTCATTAGTCAAAGTTAACTGAATTTTCTTAAAATTGAGAGTGACAAATTGCATGGAGGAACTAAGTGCTTGCTTAATGGGAAGATTATCAAGCATGGGGAATGAATTTGAAGTCTTCTAAGCAGACTACTTACCAATTTTTCCTCCCTTGGCATACGGAGCAAGTAAATCTACAACTTTGATACCAGTTACTAAAATTTCTTGCTCGACACTCATTTCTACAAATTCTGGCGCCTCAGCATGGATGGGAGCTACTTTGTCTGTTGGAATGGGGCCCCTTTCATCAATGGGTTCACCTGAGAAAAATCAAGATATGGAAGTAAATGTTAAGAGTTGTCGAGCTCAAGTGGCAACTTTTCAAGTATTCTCTTTTACAGCTGGAACTTCATTTTTTTTTAATTCAGGCCCTCAGCCCCTGTATGTAGAGTTAGAAATAGAGTTGGTTAAAGCCAGAGATATGTAACCAACAATTTGAGAAAAATTGAGTTCCTTGCATTCTTAATATATAGTAGGGGCTCTATACGTTTGCAAAAATTGGTTACCAGACCTAACACCAGGCTCAAGATACAAAGTTTTAGAATCACAAAATACGTAACACGCAATGAAACCACAGCAGGGTTTTTCCCTCATTTCTTGAATCAGTGAAAATATAGTTACCGTTTTTTGGAACTTAACTACAGATATCACGATGCATGATTAAGGGTGACAAGTTTCTTTGTAAATCAAAAGTTTCTCAGCTTTCCAAGTATGTAGAGCATAGAAATGCTGGGCACGGGGAATTTTTCACACTCAATCCTTCAAATTGAAAAAGTATGAGACCAAGGACTATTGCAGCAAAAATTGCTTCTTACAACTCACCGCGCAGTCACAGAATAAGAATATATTGTATCGTTTCCTAGTTTTCTAATAAGCTTGAGACAGGTCGTAAGTATCTTGCACCAACATTTTGAAATTCTCTAACTTGCACCTGATAAACCAAGGTTTTGGAGCAGACTTTTCTCTAGCCTTTCAAGGATTTCAGGTAAAAAATAATTTTGAACTGATTATTACTCGTACATTGACAGGAACATCTAAATTGGTAAGTTGATGGTTGATAAGACAAATATTCTGGAGCAATCGATCTTATGAAAAACAAAGCTGACAAACTCTCTCTGAAACAATTATCCTCTTTTTCTAAGAAAGTAGTAGTGAAGATATTTGTTTATTTTAAAGCCCTGCGTTAGCAACTAGAGGAGGAGAGAAGGAAAGAAGGAAGGAAAAAAATTTATTCAGGACATAAAAATCCTTGGCTGGGTTTTGGAAGCTACATACTAACCAATAACATTGATAATTCTGCCGAGAGTTTCGGCTCCGACAGGAATCCTGATAGGGTAACCAGTATCAGCAACCTCCTGACCTCTCACCAAACCCTCAGTACCATCCATAGCAATCGTTCGTACAGTACTTTCTCCTAAAGGGGGAAAAAAAACCGAAGCATGAGATACAGAGGACTCACAACAAGTGCTTCATTCACTAAAAATAAAAACAAAAAATAATGCAATCTCAGAACCGCCAATTTATTGGATCTGAGGAATTACTTTCTCTTTCACAAGAAATTCCCTCACATTCCAGAAGACTAACATTTTTGTATCGTAACATGACTTTCTCCTGATCTTTCAAAAGGAATATCAATAAAATCGTTCACCTTCTTAACTATAGAGAGTACATTAGATGTTTCAATGCTTATGGCAGACATATTTGTATTTGAATGGGTCTGCTTGTGAACTTTTACTGGAGGGAACAGAAAAGTCGTTATTTAGAACTGGAGAAAGAGAAGATTGGACACATGTCACATCGATCTGAAGTTGACACTTAGCCCATTAACCAACACATGAATTTCTGTTCAATGGTCCTGTTTCTTTATACTACTGAGGCCGCAATCAGACGCTGAATTTAGCAGCTGAGTGTGGAAGTCAACAGTCGTTGCCCAACGGCTGAAATTTAGCAAATTCGAGACGAGTTATTTTCATCCAGATGTGTATAAAATCTACTCGAACAGTTCAAACAAATTCAAAATTGGTCCGATGGTCGCTGAGAATCGTTGCTGAATTTTGCGCATGACGCGCAAAATTCAGGCATCGGGCCGATGACTTCCACATTCAAGCCACATTCAGCGTGTGATTGCGGCATTATGTCCATTCTTATCTTTCATACAGTTAAGTTGAGATGGCTAAGAAATCACTATGAACTTATAGCTAGATTGTTAGTCTAAAAATGAGTTTATAAAATACTTAGGCCTAACTGCATCCGGTTAAAGGAAAAGCAAAATTGTTGGCAAGATTTGAAATAAAGCAAGTAATTTGTTATTTTTTTTAATTTTGAGCGCCATAGCTGTAGGGGAGGCGTTAAAAAACCGTTGACCAGAAAAGAAGTGATTTCAAAATCCAAAGAATATTACCAGAAGGTTTCCGTTAACCTTGGAACACTCCAGGGTGATCCAAGAGTACCTTCCAACCCCTCTGAATTTTTCCCTGCTTTCGGTAAAGATTCGAAACTTGGGGGATGTTCTCTCAGGTCAAAGCAAGCTACTATTTAGCCTCCCTCAAAAAATTCCGGGGGGGCCTAGAGGGGGCAACGCACACCAACTTGTTGACTACCAAGTTGGGGTCCGTTGCCCTCTCGAGGGGGCCCCTTGAAGATAAGGTGAATTGTTTTCAGACCTACTTTTGGCTCTTTGAGCTGATTTCTGGGACGAAAAGTGAGTTAAAACCCCTCCTTTCCCCGTTTTTACACGCAGCGAAGAACCCATATGGTGGTGAGCGGAGGGCGATGCGTAGCAGCCAGCCCTGCTCGGGTTCTTGTGGCAGCTTCCTCTCATAATCGTAGCCAATCAGAGCTGGAGATAAGCTTGACCTGGCCTTACCTTCACAGGATGAACACACGATCAAGATGCGGATAATGGCTGCCAAGTGGGACTTCCATTCAGTGTGACGCATACTTTAACCAACTGCATAGCAGCCAATGAAAATCATCTACTTTCAACTTTTTGATGGAACTTTAGCGAACATTTCCAGGCTTCAGGGCTCAATTTTAAACTTTTTACACGGTACCAGTGTTTTCCTCGCGAAAAGTTCTACGGCCACATCTTTCTCATTCTCAAAGCCCCAATTCATGCAACAACCCCATTCAGATAAGAGGGGATCATTTGCTCAAGGGAATACAAGCGACTTACCCAAATGCTGAGCAACTTCCAGGACAAGCTTAGGTGATCTGTTGGCGACTTCAAGAGCATTTAGAATTGGAGGCAGGTCTCCATCGAATTGGACGTCAACGACGGCACCAATAACGGCAACAACTTTGCCCTTGCCAGCAGCAGGTGCTGCTTTCGGTTGCGTAGCATCTGAAAGAAATGATACCACCACATTACAGGATATAAAGAATGAGGATCAAGAAATGAAGGATGTCATAGATCTACATAATATCCCTTCTCTTTAACTATTGCAATTCCAATGAATGAGAGTTAGGTGTAGAGCATCTCGCACATTGGAGACAGAGATGTTGACATAACGCCATAGCCATCAGTCCAGGGTTGCCACCAGTGTTCGAAACCTACCTTTGAGTTTTAGGAGCCACGTGGCGCATCAAGCCCGATTTTTAGGCGCCATTGAAGATTTTTTAGGGGCCAAATTAACTTTTTGCCTATATATTACGGCGCATTTAGTGAAAAGTTGGACGCAACATGTTTTCGTAACAGAACTAGTAAGTGGCTGTAACTTGGGGAAGACAAAAGCACTAAGAATGAAATCGTGAAGAATAGAAAAAGCAAGCTTTCACTTGTAGTGCTGAAAATTCTGAGTTTTTCAATTCAAATAGATCTGTTTTTCTTTCTTTATGTGACTTCCTGTGGAAATCCAGATTTTTAGGGGCCACGTTGGCGCAGAGCCTCCATTTTTTAGGCGCCATGGCCGATTTTTCAGGCACATTTGGCGCCTGTGAGTTTCGAACACTGGTTGCCACAGACTTTAGAAAATGAAACTCCCTGCCATTTCCCTGATAAAGGGGAAAGGGCACCAAAATGCCCCTCCTCGCGGATTTTGAATTTAATGGTCTAAACCTTTTCCGGAGGTCCTGAAAACATGGTTTTGGGCAATTTTACCCTCCTGACCCCTACCACCCCCCCCCCTTCAGCCCCGAAAAAACCCATTTTTCGGGGGATTTTGGGGTATTATCACGTTTTATTTCATATCTGCCACAATTTTCTATAAAAATGCACCAAAATTTCACCAATTACACATCAGACCAGTCAGATTCTTGGAAGAAAAAATCAAATTTATCGTACCTTATTTAGACCGCTAAAAAAATTCGTAAAAATCGTCAATTTCCAATTCTTTTCAGATTATAGCGGTTTTAAAAAAAAATGAGGACACATACATTTTTTGTTTTTGCCTTAAAATGTAGGTAATATACCCAGTTGTTACCAAAACAAATTTCAAGCCTTCACGCGTGGTGCGTCCCACCGAAAAAATGGTTTTTTGGGCGCCAAAACGGTTATAATGGCTCTTTTGGTGACGGTTCACTCGCACGCTATCAAGATTGTAACACTAAAATTTTTAATTTTTGGTTTCAATGTTTCCAGAAGCATGCCCTAGTATCATTGACAGTGATTGGACATTTGATCACTAAGATGTATACATTTTGGAGACTCTGGAGGCAAAAATGATTTCGTCACAGAACCTTGTTGCCGGAGCGCGCCATCATTTGCACATGAATAGATGTGTGGAGATGAAGCTATGATGGGGATCGATCATTTCTTTAAAAACGCATTTGACTGGGACGTCGTCCTATCGGGTGGCGGAAAAAGACAATCCATGGATCACCTTCAGCGATTTGACTTGGTGAAGTAGCAAAAGTTCATCTTTACCTCTTAAGAAGATTATCGGTGGCATAGGGATCTAAAAACTGCTCAACGATAGTCTAGTTCGAGTTCCGAATCGCAATGAGCCCACTCGTGTTTTTTGCTGATACTTTCATCGCATATAAATTTCTCTGATGTTTTTGTTTTATTCTTTCTGATTGCATATTAGTAATCATATCCTAATTTAATTTCCTTTCCCTTTCCTTTTCCCCTCTCTGTAGCATCTGTGTCCGTTTACAATCATTATTTTAAAAAGCTTTCCCTTAGTATACAATTGATGCTTCAAACGGAATCAATTGTTTTAATGACATTTCCGGCTTAATCATGGGTTTTCCCAGGAAGGCAGCCTCTCGTCCCTCCCGGACTCTATTGTTGCCAGATAAGTTGCTTTCTTAACACTTTTCTCAATTCAAATCAATGTAAAATATTCACATTTATCGCACAATCTGGCAACCTCTCGAGTGAAATAGAAAGAGGTGGAATCGCTGAAAGTCTGAATCCTTCGAAGTTTATATTAATGATTGTCTCCCAACCAATGGCTCTTTTGGCAACGGTTTACTCGCACGCTATCAAGATTGTAACACTAAAATTTCTAATTTTTGGTTTCAATGTTTCCAGAAGCATGCCCTAGTATCGTCAGAAAAGGTTTCAAGTCGATCGAGTCCTTGCGCCCCACGTAAAGTACCGGTTTTTGGCGCCAAAATGTTCAACATTACTATTTCAGAGGAGGTTACTCGCGTAGGGTGGCCCTCATTTTTGAATTATCGGAGTTTAAAGTGCGGAACCCTGCAAATGGTTTCATTTGATGAGAAAATAACGGGGAAAAAAATAAAAATTGAGAAAAAAATGTTTTAAAACGCGCCTCAAAGAGCCTAAAGTTCCGAGCGTGGCGTGCGAAGACGCGTTTTCTCGTCATTTCGCGAATTTTTTTCCTCCCTTTAAAATGTTCCTACGGCTTTGAAATTTTTAGAGGTTGTACACTGTTTAGAGTACTTTACGAGAAAAATAATGAAATTTACATCGCTCAGTTTAAAATGCTATTTTATCCCCATCAAAGAGGCCATGTCGCGTCGTGCGATTTTGCCGATTTTCCCTTATAATCTCCTCGCAAGGCGTGTCTTTTTTCCACCTTTAAATTGTTGCTACGGTTTTGAAATTTTCTGAAGTGTCACATACTTTATAGTAAATTACGAATAAAGTAACAAAATTTACCTCGCTACTTTTAAAATGCTCCCTGTTCCCCTTCAAAGTGGCCACATCATGCGATTTCGTCGATGATTGTTCATAACATTCTCTCGGCACGGTTTGCCTGAACGAGATTAAATTTTTTGAAGAGTCAAAAGCAAAAATTCTTCAGTTTCTAGAAGTAGAGTGTCTACCGAGTCATTTAAACCAAAAATAAACAATTCTGTTCAGCTGCTGGAAAACAAGTCGATTTAAAGGTATTTCAAGGCTAACAGGCAAATGAACGATATAAAGGGGAAATCGGCAAAATCGCACGACGCGACATGGCCTCTTTGATGGGTATAAAATAGCATTCTAAACTGAGCGATGTAAATTTCATTATTTTTCTCCCTATTTTTTTCCCTTTACATCGTTCATTGTTCATCGTTCCGCGTGACGGACGCGGAAAGCGCGTCCAGAACGGCTAGTATTGAATAAAAATGTATGAGTTATTGAAGCTAGGTAGAGAAAGGTATAGTTCCTTTCATTAGTGCTATGTGTAAAAAGGGTAAGGTTGGCACATACGCAATATGCATCGGTAGAACAGCATAAGAGGAGGCGGTATGAAGGGGGCGATTGAAGGGAAGCAGTGGCGGATCCAAAAGGAGTCGNGCAGCCATTTGCTGGTGCAGAGTGGGGGGTCTGAGAGGACATCCCCAGAAAGAGGGGGTCCGGGGATCCTCCCCCGAATTTTTTTTAAAAAATAGGACCTCCTTGATAAATTTTTAAGCAGTTTCGGCATATGATTTGTGCATTATTTGAAAGTTTAAAATTGAAGAGTAATACCATTTTCAGCATTATTTTATTTTAGTACTAGCGAAATGCCCGTGACTGGAGTCACGAGTCTAGAGGCCGCTAAAATATCTATAGTCCCGAAAAAATGGTGGTAGGGGAGCAAGACATGCCATAAAAAAATGATAAAATCGATAGAAAAATGAGTTGAGGGGAGAGAGTGATGAAGCTAGAAAAATAAGCTGGGGGGAGGTAGAATAAGTGCTTGCTAAAAAATTAGGACTAACCTAGCAATGATTTATTTTAAAAAAAAAAAATGAAAAAAAAAAGAAATTGAAATAAAACATCAGCTGATAGCAAACGAAGGTTACCAAGGAAACCAAGGAATGGAACTTTCATAAATACAGATTAGTGGAAAGCAGCGTAAGTAGGGCACTTACGTTAATTACCGTTTATAAGTAAACGGTAAGTGCGATTTAACCAAAAATCTATACAGTTCTTCATTAGACCAAAATGGACAAAATTACAAAATTTGAATAGGTTAACGTAAATCTAACGATAGTTATCGTGAACGAAAGAATTGACGACATAGGTCCGGTAACTATTATAGGTGGGATATGAACTCAGTATTTATTACTGCAGTGTTGAGCAACCTTTGGTTTGATAAACTTAGGTTATGAGGAACTATTTTAGTTGCGGACCTTACATTCTGTGCATTAAACTTTCAATAAGTTGGTCTGCTCGGCCCAAAAAATTTAAAATTTTTCGAACACTGAGAAATGTACCTTACACTCTATGATACTGCAAATTTTCGTTTAAAACGATTGTATATAAAGCAAGATACAGGTCAAAGAAGGCCGCTGCAGACGTTAAAAAAAGATCTCTCATTTTTGAGGACCTTACTTTGACTTCAATTTTTATAGAAACTATATACGTCATCTATATTCTGGTTGGCCCTGGTGACGTCTCAATGAGTGTACTTTTCAATCAAGCATCTACCTCAAATAAATTTTATATGATTTTTTTGAGATATTGCCATTTTTATGGTGTTGCGTACATAACAGCCGTAGAACTTTGGACCTCAATTAGGCTGTAACTCTCACAGTTTATCAAGTGATTGAATTAAAAGGTAACAGCATGAAGTAGGAAAGCCAATTGTCACAACGGTACATGAATTTCTCCTTAAATTCAATACCAATAGCTGTGAGAAAATTTTCCGAAGTAATTAAGTATCTAAGGTGATGATAGAGCCCAGTTTCTATCTTTAAAATACAACTTAAAAATAAATTTAAGCACAAATTATTTGTGAAATGAACAGAGCGGCAAAAGTGAGAGATGCTACGTTTGACGTGAGTATAAAAATGCACCTTTTTAGAAAAATACAGGTTGCCCCAGATCACCCGTAAAAGGCTATTTTTTCTTCAGTTATTTTAGGTCAAACGAAGTCAGGGATGGCAAGAGTGAAGGTGAAATTGACCGCAGGGAAACTGAATTTTATCTTCCCTTAAGCCCCTCCTGTTCCCTTGGTAGGTTAAACAGTTGTTCCAACTTCAAGAGTGGGGATGCTGGTACGCGTCAAAATTCTGGAACTATGCCATCAAACTCGGGCGGTTCAAAGAATTTTAACCTACACCATCAACGAAAAATCCAAAACTGGCAAAGTGCGCTGCCCAGAAAATTTCCTCCGAGTTTTTCTCTGCACACAAAAATATTTCTCAAGAACATGATGAAAAAACCACGAAAAAGTGATTGTCGAAGGCATGGACAGGTAGCAATGTGCAGCATTACCGATATAGGCTCCCGCGTGTGCACTATAGTAACGCTATTATAGCAGGAACCGCAGGATAGACACTATAACATTGTTGCTGAATACAAAGAGAAGTAAAAAGTAGTTACGATCAATAATTAAATTGCATTAAAATGCACATTATCAGGACAAATATATTAAATATTTAAGAAAATCATATGAAACGTTTTACCGAAATTAAATTTCAAATTGAACACACTTCATATTTAAAAATAAAGTGAAACATAATAGGGCTGCTACAGAGGAACTTGACTGTAACTCCATGTGGTTGTAAATCTTAAAGATGCAATATAAACATATAGGTAGTGACCAAAAATTGCTCCCAACATGACCTTAAAAATCACTAATCTGAACATGTCTTTAGAAAAACTTGAAAATCTTGCGAATCTAGGAACTGGAAATGAAAAGTGAACTCATTTCATAAAATTGAAAATTTTTTCGATTCGATGCACAAAATTTTATCGTGCACAAGTTAAGCTAATTTTATAACCTCGAAGGTCCTGCTTAGAAATAATTGTCTCAGATGTACCTAACTGGATCCATAATAAGAGCAATGCAGCCTCCTGACTTTCTGCGTTTAAAATCGGAAACGTTGTAAAAACGGTTCTATCTAAGGTTTGGGAAAGTGACCCTAACAGCAAGCGATGGCTCTGCAGTAATATCAACATCTTTGTCGCCAACCTGAGAAGTGCCCTATTTTCAACCCAACTCTGGCTCAGGGTAACATTAGTCTGTCCAGCCAGCAACACTTGTTGTTTGGTTGAATGCTCACTGGACAGCAGTGGAATTTTTTAATTTATTTACAATAAAAATAACGACCATACTTGCCAACAAATAAGACATAAAAACTAACGTTGTCACAAACGAAGCAACAATGTCAAGGATGAACACCAGATCTTATGATGTAACAAGGCGTTAGATCAGTGCTGGGTCAACGAGCTGAGGCAATACTCGGGGGGAAATCAAAGCGAAGGAATTCCAAGAATTAAAGTTTGAGATTGTAAAAAGGATTAACGCATTTCAGTTCGCGTTTGGTCTCTCAGTTTAACAGTGCGATGGTTTACAGTTCTATTTTTACATGCATAAAAGCCGCTTTTACAGCAGTCTCTGGCGCTCTGTGACACCTAGCTGCCAAAGTCTCCTATACTCCCAAAGCCCTCAGGGCATTGGCACTCCCTCAGATCCTCCAAACCCCCAGTTGCCATCCTTTTAATTGAGGAAGAGATAATAATTAAGTCGTCTAGAAAATAAAATAATAACCGCCTCAATTTTCTTGATATGACTGAAAAACCCGGGTTTTTCTTTACAAAAGCCCTACCTGCGGGTGGAACAGGGTTTTCTTAGGATTTTGGGTGGGGGTTTTTTTTTGAGGGGGGGGGGGCGCATTCGAGGCATATCAGAAATTTTAGCAAAAAACCTCAGAACAAAATAGTACACAAAATAAGAAAAAAACCAATGAAGATGATGGTCAGGTTGGGAAAGGGAGGGGGGTGTTGAGGACTGTTACAAATTTCATGTACTGAGAAGAGTGAGCGGGTACGCACCTCATGGGAGATGGGTCTAGAACTGCCACACATCAAAGCAAAGGTCTGAGTAATGTGCCGGCTTTCTGTAAATTTCTCCACAGTTGCGGTTCAGTTCAAGCGTCGAAAAAGTAAGTCAACTTTTAAAACAAAAGGGGGAGGGTTGTCAAGCAAAAAATGATGCAATTTTCTAATGGGGGGTACCTGTACAGATCTGTATGATGGGTGCTAGTAAAAAAAAAATAGCTATTGATCATGGGGCTTTGTAAGAATTGTCTTCTTCGGAGAGGGAGAAGTGCCTACATTATCCGTGACGTAATTTATGGTTAACCACCACAAGCAACAGAAAACAAATGAAATGGAAACTGGGCCACTGACAGGGTCTGAACTATACACGAACACCATGTTATATCTTTAATGTTCTCAATTACCATTACTTCATTCATAGGGGTTTTTCAGTGAGATTTCCCAGGTTGTACTCTGGGTTTTTTAAGTGTGGCTATACAAAAAAACCAGCCCAGTTTTTGTGGGCTGGGGAAAATAGGGCCAACCCTGATATAAATAAAATCATACACTGCATGGATATACTTGTGTAGATTATAATATGTTAGGTTGCCATTGGACAAGAATGATGCAGGCATGAATTTAGTAATGCAATTTAATTTTTGGACAGGCAGCACTACCAGCCTGAACAGTGGGTGAAAGAATATGTTCATCTTCATAATGCATTGAATTTAAGGCTATTACGACGGCTGCGCCCCTCTAGCTGTCCCAGCAGGATAATGTGGAAAAATAGAGAACCCTTCACCATTGAGGATCCAAGGGGTGCTACAATTCATTGAGAAAAAAAAGAAGGTGTTTGCATCTTGAGGATGGTGTACCCTATGAGTAGGTCGGTACAACCTGGTCAGCAAAATCCGGAATTCGAATTATGAAAAACGGACCATAACGTCCGATTTTTTTGCTTAAATCAACTCATTATATAATTTCAAACACATTATGTAGTGTGCATTTTTTCGATTAACTACACAATTTCCATGAAAATCGATGATAAAAGTCGCCGTACCGACCTACGTCATCAAAAAAATTCGAAGATGCCCGAAATGCAAACACCTCCTTTTCTTTCTCTATGGCTCCAATTATCTTCATAGACACTTCCCTATCGTAAGACTGAAGGACATTTGAAGAAAATAGTTGAACTTGCAAATGACAAGGACCCCGCACACCTCTTATGGGAAGCTGCACCACGAAGAATTGCCTTCTGACTTATGTATTTCGATTCTCCTCAAGATGCTGATCAAAAGTTATAATTGCGCCAACATTCTACGTTCACCGTTTCGCAAAAAACCTATGAGAAGATTCAATTATTCGGTGATAAAAAGCCAGAAAGATTCCTCATTTCAGTGCTCGATTGACAAGCAGCTGTGTGTCAACAAGGAAATCATGGGGACTCCCGCACCAAGCGGCAGTCTTATCTCGGATTCCGCACGCCGTTTTGCTCGACCACCATCCAAATCAGATTCTTGAGGAGCATAAGAACAGGAAAGTCTGAACGTCTACCGGGCGAGTGCGGGAGGGAGATAGCCCCTGAGTCGGCAGGTACAGATAAGAAGACGGACACATGCGACAATTTTTTCTTATTTACATCGGGCTTGTCCTCAAATGCTTTGTTCTTTTTTATTCAAAGTCGCCGAATAATTGAATCATCTCATAGGTTTTTGGCAAAAACGGTGCATCGTAGAAAGTTGGCGCAACTGTAACTTTTGATCAGCATCTTGAGGAGAATCGAAATACATAAGTCAGAAGGCAATTCTTCGTGGTGCAGCTTCCCATAAGAGGTGTGCCGGGTCCTTTCAGTGGCCCAGACCACCACTTGGCTTTGAGCTCTAGCAGTACAATAGACTTAGATGTCCCAATTCTACGCACGGAGTGGCGATTGCTGAGTGAAATTCGTATGAAATTGCTGATTTCATGGAAATCCTAACGTACAGACATGGAGAAACAGGAATGCAACGGGATCAGTAGAGGGCATGAGACATTGTAAAATAGGCTTCCATGGGAGCATAGGAAAGTGGGCTATGACCTGAGTAGGATGGTATTGCTCGATCAGTGCTTCAATTACTATTCATAGTTATTACCTTAGTTTCTGATGAGACTTGGTGAGATAGCGAGACAAACTGAAAATGACTACTTGAATGAGAGAGCCCAAATGATAAGGTATCACCGAGGTAAAGGGTACCATAAGGTCACACAAGTTACAGGATTTATTAGACTAAAAATTACGCGAAAGTGGGTACTTACAGTTTGCAGAAACTGATGCAGCAACTTTAACCGCTTCATTTTGAATAAATTGGGGGTTTAAGACGGGTTTCACCGCCTTCAAAACCCCGGTGGCCGTCCTACTCAGCGCGTTGAACATGGTAGCCGATCAATGCACAGACTTGCAGAGGAGGCCTTAACTGCACAGCAACTGAGGCCTGACCGCCTGAGGAATGGGTTCGAGTCTTGCACTGAAGGTGAATCTTCAGCTGTAGTTCCGAAAAAATCCACCACGTAACGCTGCTAAAATCTAGCTCCGAAATAAGTGATTATTTAAATATTACAATAGAAATATTAAATTCTAAGATACATAAGTGCCAGCAGCATACGTCTGGTACGGTTAAAAACAAACGCGAGCTTTGAAAGTTTAATAATAAAAGCTATAACTTGATCCCAGTTTCTCTTATGGGATATCTGTAAGTGCGAGAGAGATAGCTCACGGTGGGAGAGAGATATCTGCAACTGCTGAGAGCGATCGATCGCGATTGGTTGCCTCAAGGTCATCACAAGGCGGATAAAGAATGGTGGTCGCATTTCGTACCCTCTGGTAGAGCTGTATACCGAACCCGTACCGATACCGATCGTTACCGATCGATACCGACCGAAACATTTTCGATTCACCGAATACCGAAGCCATCGCGATATATCGTACATACCGAACATACCGAGACTTACCGAAACATACCGAAACATTTTCGATTCATCGAATACCGAAGTTATCGCGATATATCGTACATACCGAAACTTACCGAACATACCGAAACTTATCGAACATACCGAAACTTA